AGATGTATCATTCCCCTCCTGAACTTATGTCACCCAGAAATGCCACCAAAGATCATTGAAAGAAAATGACCGTATACGCATCAATTCAAAGGACAAGAAGACGTAACAGGGCGATTGGCAAACATAAGGGAGCCACAACCTCTCCAGGAAAGCTTAACGCCAAGATGGATAAGTTGGCGTAAAAGACAATAATCCTAAACACTGAAAACACTTTGAGAAGGCAGACCCAATTGCCTCACTCCAGAAACAGGATATAGAGTCCAGCAAATAAAACCCCCCTAGAATCCACATCCAAACCTTTGAACATCTTCAAATACAGGCTTAGAACCAAAAAAACAAAATTCCTAACAAGGTTCATGAGTCAAACCTGCAAATGAAAATTCACACAGACCCACATAAAGGATCATTATGACAACAAAATATGGATCCCAGGTTATAACCTATTCAGATGCAATAGACTAAACAGGCAACAAGGGGGATTTGGCCTGTACATCACAGAGTCACTCATTTGCTCAGAACTACTAAACACCTCAAATGATGTAGCTGAAGTTTTGGCGGTAAAGATTGAAAACCAAAACCTTGTCATTGTGGTAGTATACAAGCCTCCAGATGCAACTTCCCAGCAATTCCAGTAGTTTTTGTAAATTGACCACTGTCTGGAAAATCTCCCAACTCCTGCTCCAAACATCTTACTACTAGGAGATATCGACTTGAGACACGTAAAATGGAGTATAGCAAACAATGTTTTAGTTGAGATCACCCCAGGAGGCAGCTCAAATGAAAATTCACGCACACACGAACTATTAAATCTCTGCACCAAATTCACCTTAACACTTTCAGGGTCGAGAGGCCCTCTCCTAAACTTGTTATAAGGGTCAAAAATTTTTTGAACCAAAAAACAAAACTATTTTTTATGAAAAGATAGAGAATCTTTTCCCAATCATAATGACACCAAAAGTATGAAATTTGATGGAAAACTTATGGAGTTATGGTCTCACGAAGTTAGCAGTCTTGACGATGTTTACGCATCGGCGATTTTGCCCACTTTGAGCCCTATTTTTGGCCAATTCCAGTGTACTAGTCGGCAAAAATCAAAACTACCTCACTAGAACTCCATTTTTTCTATCGAATGAGTACAAGAAGCCACCAATTTACCGATTTCAACTATCCAATAAAGTGGTCAGAAATTAGCAATTTTGCCAGTTTCACACAAATTTCAAAAGATGCCAATTTCCAAATAGGGTTCAGAATAAACACGACAGACATTCCTGGCATTTAAATAACATTTCCTCTGTTCATCAGTCACGTCCACAGGCCCCTCTTACATTTCTTTTGCTTTCCACTTCGAGTTTTTATTCTCACAAAAAATAAAAGATTTACTGTTATGCAGACTACTGCATTAGTGTAGAAATGGTATAAATAATATCAGCTTACTTGCGAAGGAATATTAGACTCACCAGTTGATGTGTACTGGACGCGTGGCATGATTTCTTTACTTTTGAACTTTGGCAAAAATCAAAGATTTCTGCTACTTTGAGCTCAATTTCAGGGTACTTTACATTGTGAAACCAATCAAAATCATCTCAATTTCTGTAATATGTCTTCCATTCTATAAAATGAGACCAGGAAAACTAGAATGCAACCATAAATAGCATACAAAAATACAGTGCAAAGTCACTGTTTTAAACCAAAAACACAGTCAAAGTGTTTTTTTCTCATTGCACACTGTGTGCTGCAGGATTTTTTTTAAACTGTGCACACTGACCACAAAGACCCATTCCTTCATATGTATGCCTACCAGCTTTCTCTTGCTAGATTTGAAGGCGCTAGAATTTACGCGTACTAGTACGTCAATAGCCCTGGTGCATAAGTCGTACTAGTACATCGGAAACCCTGAAAGAGTTAAACCAGCAAATATTAGAGCCGACAAACTAGATAATATGCTGGACCTCATCTTCACTAACAACGACGATCTGATATGTGAAATAACTGTATTAAAGACAATACACTCATACCACAACATAATAAGAGGCTCAGACATGTATGCACAGAGCTCCTGACCAGCAAAATGTGATCAGTCATGAAGGTCTCTTCACAAAATTCAATTTCAATAACAAAAACATACAATGAGATCAAGTCAACCATGTCCTAAATGAAACAAGCTGGAGACATCCTAAACAACACGGATCCGAACATTTGCCTAGAAAAAATGAACTCCGTGGTTCTTGAGATCTGCTCAAAACACATTCCAATAAAAAAAAGAAAGAGAAGATGTAAAGTAGAGAGAGAGAGATGCTCCCTATACAGACGAAGGCAAAGTGTCACAGAGCTGCTGAGAGGGGCCAATATATCTGAAATACAAAGGGAGGCACTTGCCAATTAAATTGCAAATATCGAACTTAAGCTGAAGGAATCTTACAGGAGACAAGAATCACAGGAAGAACTAAAACCAATAAATGAAATTGAAAAAAAAAAAAAACTTCTCTTATGCCAAATCTAAGGTAAAAACAACATCCAGTATTGGGCCGCTGCTTAGGTGGGATGGGATGTACACAGATGACAGCCAAGAAATGAGTGAGATATTAAAGTCCTAATATGGCTCAGTGTTCAGTGAGCCACTGCCCAGACTAATGGTTGACAATCCAAATGAATTCTTTATGAATGAAACCCAAAATCTGGTCATCTCAAAAATCTCAGACATTATCCTAACTCCACAAGATTTTGAAAAGGCAATAAATGACATGCTCATGCACTCTGCTGCCCCAGGCCCAGACTCATGGAACTCCCTGTTCATCAAGAATTGAAAGAAGCCCCTATTGTGTGCCTTCAGCATTTTATGGAGAGGGAGCATGAACACAGGGGTCATCCCACACTCACTAAAAACAACAGACATAGCCCCACTCCACAAAGATAGCAGTAAAGCAATAGCAAAGAACTACAGACCAATAGCACTAACATCCCATATCATAAAAACTTTTGAGAGGGTTCTAAGAAGCAAGACTGCCAACCACCTAGATACCCATCAATTACACAACCCAGGACAACACGGGTTCAGAGCAGGCTGCTCCTGCCTGTCTCAGCTACTGGACCACTATGACAAGGTCCTGAATGTTGTAGAGGATAAACAAAATACAGATGTAGTATACACAGACTTAGCAGAAGCTTTCGACAAGTGTGACAATGGTGTAATAGCACACAAAATACGTGATAAAGGAATAACAGGAAAAGTTGGTAAATGGATCTATAATTTCTTGACAAATAAAACACAAAGAGTAATAGTAAACAGAGTCCCAGGCAGCCACAGTGAAAAGCTCTGTTCCACAAGGCACACTATCTGCTCCCATTCTATTCCTCATCCTCATTTCTGACATAGACAGAGATGTAAGCCATAGCTCCATGTCTTCCTTTGTGGATGACACCCTGACTGTCATGGCAGTGACCTCCATCAAAGACACCGCAAGACTCCAAGCGAATATCAACCAAATCTTCAAATGGGCCACTCAATATAATATGAAGTTCAATGAGGAGAAATTTCAACTACTCAGATATAGAAAACTTGAGGAAATTAAAAATGTATCAGGGTATATGACAAATTCTAACCATACAATAGAGCAAAAAAGTAACGTGAAGGACCTGGGAGTAATAACGTCAGACTTTCTCACCTTTAAAGACCATAACAATGTATCTACCTCATCTGCTAGGAAAATGATAGGATGGAAAATGAGAATGCTCAAAACTAGGGGCGCCAAGCCCATGATGATTCTCTTCAAATCACTTGTGCTCTCTAGGCTGGAATACTGCTGTACACTAACAGCCCCCTTCAAGGCTAGTGACATTGCAGACCTGGCGAGGGTACAAAGAATTTTCATGGCACACGTAAGTACGATATGGCACCTAAATTACAGGGAATGGTTTAAGGTCCTTGATCTGTAATCCCTGGAATGCAGGCAAGAGAGATACATGATAATATACACTTGGAAGGTCCTGAAGGGAAAGGTACCAATACTGCACATGAAAATCACTCCCTATGAAAGCAAAAGACTCGGCAAGAGATGCGTCATTCCCCCGATGAAAAGCAGGGGTGCTACGAGTACACTGAGAGACAACACAACACTTTTCATTGTAAAACCAATCAAAATCGTCTCAATTTCTTTAATATGTCTTCCATTCTATAAAATGAGACCAGGAAAACTAGAATACAACAATAAATACCATACGAAAATACAGTGCAAAGTCGCAGTTTTAAACCAAAAACACTGTCAAAGTTTTTTTTTCTCATTACGCACTGTGTGCTGCAAGATTTTTTTTATACTGCGCACACTGACCACATAGACCCATTCTTTCATATGTAGGCCTACCAGCTTTCTCTCACTAGATCTGAGGGCGCTAGAATTTAGGCGTACTAGTACGTCAAAAACCCTGGTGCGTAAGCCGTACTAGTACGTCGGAAACCCTGAAAGGGTTAAGTTAGCAATAGAACTAGGCATTAAAAACAATAAAAAGTAAAATACACAAGCAGTACACCCATTACTTACCTTAAAATATTTGTAGTCTTAATGTAGGGTGAGAGGAGAGTCATATTTGTAGGAAGTCAGGAGTGGGAGGTATGGTAGCCAGCCAGGTCAGCCCACCTCACCCCACCCACACATAATATATTACAACATTTAAAGTGCCCCAGAGTGATAAAATACATATACAGTGGAACCTCAGCCTCACCATGCAAATTTTTCTGGATACAAACAGTTATTCAGTCGATGTTTTGCTTCTGGATACAAACGAAATTTCAGGATGCGAACATCCCCCTCAAGGGAGGCTCCTTGGTGAGGGGCTCTTGATCTAGGGAATTGGATCTGTGATCCAGTTCCCTAAATTAATAATAATAATAATATTACATATAATATAATAATACTTAATACTATAATAATAATAATAACAACATTATAAATGAACTTGTGAATGCCGCCACAAGACGGCAAAGTGAGTACCAAAACAATGCTCACCAGTGCACGTGTGCTTATGGAGCTTACATCTCGGTGGAAGGTATTCTTGTGTTTTCCTTACATTTCGTGAAGTTATTTTGCCAAATTTCTTTTTTCCAACCATGGGTCCTAAGAAAGCATGTGCAAAGGACAGTCCTGAGAAGAAAAAAAGAATGATTACCATTGAATTAAAGCAGGAAATTATAGATAAACACAAAAACTAGGTGCGAGGGTTAAGGACTTGGTGAGTTATTACCAGCATAGCCCTTCTACAATATGTACAATACTAAAACAGAAGGAGTTCATGAAGGCTATAGGACCAGCAAAGGGTGTTACAGTAATTTCTAATTAGCAGACCTCTGTCAATGAAAAGATGGCAAATCTGCTGTTGATGTGGTTGATGGAGAGGAAGCTTGCAGGAGATACCGTGAATGAGGGTATCATCTGTGATAAGGCACGAGGCATTTATGCTGATTTGATGCAGAAGACCCCAAGCACATCAACAGATAAGGCACTGAAAAAGTCGCTTAAAGACAATCAGAGCTGGTTCAAAAAGTTTCAAAGAGGGTCCGGCATTCACTCTGTTATCAGGCATAGTGAGGGAGCAAGCTCTGATGTGAAGGCAGCTGAGGATTTTATCAAAACTTTTGCAGAAGTGATAGCAGCTGAAGGATACATCCCTCAGCAAGTCTTCAACTGTGATGAGACAGGGCTCTTCTGGAAGAAGATGCCAAGGAGGACTTACATAACTGCAGAGAAGAAGATGCCAGGCCACAAACCCATGAAGGATAGGTTAACCTTCGCACTGTGCCAATGCGAGTAGCGATTTTAAGATCAAGCTGCTGCTGGTATATCATTCAGAAAACCTCAGAACCTTTAAGTTGCATAAAATTCTAAAAGAAAAACTTGAGGTTGTGTGAAGGGCAAACCCGAAGGCATAGGTCACTAGGCAGTTTGCTGTGGAGTGGATAAACCTGGCCTTTGGTCCTGTCATTAACCCTTTCAGGGTCGACAGGCCCTCTCAGAGACTTTTTCTCAGGGTCCCCCAAATTTAAAAAAAAAAAAAAATTATTTTTTCTTATGAAACGACAGAGAATCTTTTCCCGATCATAATGACACCAAAAGTATGAAATTTGATGGAAAACTTATGGAATTATGCTCTCACGAAGTTAGCGGTCTCAACGATGTTTACGCATGGGCAATTTTGCCCACTTTGAGCCCTATTTTCGGCCAATTCCAGTGTACTAGTCGACAAAAATCATACCTATTTCGCTAGAACTCCATTTTTTCTATTGAATGAGTACAAGAAACCACCCATTTACCGATTTTAACTATACAATACAGTGGTCAGAATTTAGCAATTTTGCCAATTTCACACAAAATTCAAAAGATGCCAATTTCCAAATAGGGCCCAGAATAAACACGAAAGACATTCCTGGCACTAAAATAATGTTTCCTCTGTTCATTAGTCACGTCCCAACGCCCCTCTTACATTCTTTTGCTTTCCATTTTGAATTTTTCTCACAAAAAATAGAAGATTTACTGTTATGCAGACTACTGCATTAGTGTAGAACTGGTATAAATAATATTGGTGCACTTGTGAAAGAATATTGGACTCACCAGTTGACGTGTATTGGACGCTTAGCATGATTTGTTTACTTTTGAACTTTGGTAAAAACCGAACATTTCTGCTATTTTGAGCTCAATTTTAAGGTACTTTTCATTGCAAAACCAGTCAAAATCATCTCAATTTCTGTAACATGTCTTCCATTCTATCAAATGAGACCAGGAAAACTAGAATACAACAATAAATACCATATGAAAATACAGTGCAAAGTCCCTGTTTTAATCCAAAAACATGGTCAAAGTTTTTTTTTTCTCATTACGCACTGTGTGCTGCAGGATTTTTTCTATACTGCACACACTGACCACATAAACCCATTCTTTCATATGTAGGCCTACCAGCTTTATCTCACTAGATTTGAAGGCGCTAGAATTTATGAGTATTAGTACGCCAAGGACCCTGGAACGTAAGCTGTACTAGTACGGCCGAAACCCTGAAAGGGTTAGAAGAAGTATCTCCAGGTGAATAACCTACCCCTGCAAGCCCTTCTCTTCCTGAAAAATGCACCTGCTCACCCACCAAACCTCAAAGATGACGTGATCGAAGAGCTCAAGCTTATAAAGGTTCTCTACTTTCCACCCAACACCACCCGTATCCTGCAGCCCACGGACCAGCAGGTGATTTCTAATTTCAAGAAGCTATTAGCCAAGCACCTGTTCCACCGCTGCTTTGATGTGACAGAGAGCACAATCTTGACCCTTCAAGAGCTCTGGAAGGACCACTATAACATCATGATATGCCTCAAAATTATAAATGTGGCCTGGTAGGGTGTTACAATGAGGACCTTGACCTCTGCGTGGAAGAAGCTGTGGCCTGAGGTTGTGTCCAAAAAGGACTTGGAAGGATTCATACCCGAAGCAGCAGTGGTGGAGGAGATTGTGTCCCTTGGAAAGGTCATGGGCATGGAGGTGGATGAAGATGTGAACGATCTCATCAAGGAGCATTCCAAGGAGCTGATGACAGAGGAGATAGATGAACTACATATGCAGCATCATCAGGAGGTTTTGCAGGGCATTCATACCGCGGAGGTGCATGATGTGGAAGAGTTTATCTCTACAAGTGAGATAAAGGAAATGTTGGGAATCTGGGAGAGATTTTCAGACTTTATTGAAAAGAAACACCCAGAGAAAGCATCAAGCGGTCGTGCATTGGAGCTAAGTATTAATTTAGTATTAATTTAGTCATTCTACGCTGAATGTTTTCTAACGAATTTATGTCCATTCTGTAATATGGAGACCAGAATTGAGCTGCATAATCTAGGTGAGGCCTTACTAATAATGTATAAAGCTGCAGTATGACCTCTGGACTTCTGTTGCTTACACTTCTTGATATAAATCCCAGTAATCTATTTGCCTTATTACGTAAGGCAAATAGATTACTGGGATTTATATCAAGAAGTGTAAGCAACAGAAGTCCAGAGGTCATACTGCAGCTTTATACATCATTTAGTAAGGCCTCACCTAGATTATGCAGCTCAATTCTGGTCTCCATATTACAGAATGGACATAAATTCGTTAGAAAACATTCAGCGTAGGATGACTAAATTAATACATAGCATTAGAAATCTTCCTTATGAAGAAAGATTGAAGACTCTTAAGTTACACTCACTTGTTAGACGAAGAATGAGGGGAGACCTGATCGAAGTGTATAAGTGGAAGATAGGTATTAATAAAGGGGATATTAACAAGGTCTTGAGGATGTCTCTCCAAGAGAGAACCCGCAGTAATGGATTTAAATTAGATAAGTTTAGATTTAGAAAGGACATAGGAAAGTATTGGTTTGGAAATAGGGTAGTTGATGAGTGGAACAGTCTACCTAGTTGGGTTATTGAGGCTAGGACTTTGGGTAGTTTCAAATTTAGATTGGATAAGCACATGAGTGGGAGGGGTTGGATTTGAGTGGGACTTGCACATCGGAGCTTGTTTCTTGGGTGGCATTGAAAATTGGGTTGGGCAAATGTTTTGTTAGTGGGATGAATTGTAAAGGACCTGCCTAGTATGGGCCAACAGGCCTGCTGCAGTGTTCCTCCTTTCTTATGTTCTTATGTTCTTATAACTCATTTACGAAACATTCTGAAACAAAGGAAGAATCAAACCTCCTTGGACAGTTTTTTATTGAAATGCCCTGCAGATCAAAGTGTAAAAAGCATGGAGAAAAAGCCAAAAATCAGTGAATAGTGAAGTGAGATAAAAATAAAAATTGTAGGAGTTAAGTTCAGTGATAAAGTGTAGCATTAAGAGTGTAGCAATTAAGTGTAGCTTTAAGAGTGTAGCAATTAAGTGTAGCATTAAGAGTGTAGCAATTAAGTTAAGCGATTAAGCAATAGAAAAAGGACGAACCGAAATGAATGAAATGAAAATAGTGATCTAATGCAGTTAACCTCACAGACTCCATTTTCTCTTATACTAACACCTCTTAAGGGAAAGCATTGGAAGACGTTTTTATAGAGGGAGGAAGAATACTCGCAACCACTCTCCTCTGCCGCCGTCATCACTAGCCACAAATACAATGACATTTTATTCATTCTAGAATGTATATCAGGTTTCTACGTTATTTACATTGTTTATTATGTCATTTTAGATTAACTATAATGGATAAATAAGCTGTAAAGTTGGCTTTAGCATCATACCGAAGTAAATTTTGTTGTACCTCCTGAGAGCAGGAATTCCACTGGAATGTATTAATAACATTTCATTTAATTTAAATGAAGAACATTGCCTAAGCATACGAACAAATCAGGATACGAACGAGGTCACAGAACAGATTAAATTCGTAAGCCAAAGTTCCTCTGTACAATACATTCATTAATTATCTTAACCCCTTGACTGTCGCAACCCCCAATCCTGAAGTGTCTCCTGGTGTCGCAAAATTTCAAACAAAAAAAATATTATTTTTTCTTATGAAATGATAGAGAATCTTTTCCCAATTGTAATGACACCAAAAACACGAAATTTGATGGAAAACTGAAGGAATTACGCTCTCGCAAAGTTAGAGACCTCGGGGATATTTACAAATCGGTGATTTCGCACACTTTGAGCCCTCTTTTCGGCTAATTCCATTGTTCCAGTCGACCAAACTCATAGCTATTTCTTTAGAACTCCATTTTTTTCTATCGACTGAGTACAAGAAACTGCCCACTTACCGATTTCAACTACCAATAACATGGTCAGAAATTTGCAATTTGGCCAATTTCACGAAAATTAAAAAATATGACAATTTCAAAATTATGTCCAGAATGAACAATGCAGACATTCCTGGCTCTAAAATAACATTTTATTTGTTCATCAGTTACGTCTCCAAGCCCCTCTGATATTACTCTTGCTTTCTATTTTGAATTTTTATGCAAACAAAAAATAGAAGATTTACTGTTATGCAGACTACTGCAATACTGTAATAATTGTATAAATAACATCAACCCATTCATGACTGCATATTAGAATGGCTAGTTGGACATTTATTGGACAATGGCATCATTTGTTTACTTTTCAACATCGGCAAAAATCAAACATTTCCCCTACTTTGAGCTCCATTT